ACCCAGGCTGTACATCTGATCTTACCCGTCTATAGGTAGTCTACATTCAGTCTGTGTATGTTCCCTACTCCGTATCTACCCGACAGAGTCCCTGTGTAGCCTACAGCAGACTACATCTCATCTACATGCTGCAGTCTTTATCCACTGTGGGTCCACAGCCTGTTCACACTGCAGAACCCACAGTAGAGCCTGGCCAACACTTTGCTGGACAGACAGTAAGCAAGAATTGGGAGGGGGCAGCCATTCCTTACTCTGGCAACCCGCAGCCCCAGCCACAGATGGAGGTCACCATTCTCTGCCTGCTCTAGCAGGGAAGACAAGGCCCTGACCATGCTTCAGCCCCTCTGCGTGGGGACAAGGATGTACTCATCTAGAGTCCAGCCAACAAGGAATTCGGGGCTTTATCTGGAAGAGTGAGTTCCCCAACCTCCCTTCAGATGACAGCGCTGTGTGACCCACTGCTGGCCCCAAGACCATGGCCCACTGTGCCCATGCCATGCGCCAGTCTCCATGGCCCGGCTGGGATGCAGGGCACGTGGCTCATCCACAGGTCACTCCACTCCCGCACTCCTTCCCCACCGTCGTGGCCTTGTTTAAAAGGCATCTTACATAGGTACACAGCTTTATACATGAAGCAGTCCAGGCTCCAGGGGGCTACACGTCTGAGCATCAGGGACAATGGACAGGGACACAGCCGGTCCAAACCTCACGTCTTCACGTTTCTGTTATTTGCAAAAAGTAAAAGGACTGCATCTTATCAGCCCATAAATAAAGGTGTTCAGCTCCAAAGGTAACAGGGTCTTTGCCACTGAGCTGGTGCAGAATCAGGAGCAAGGACTGAATGAGCTCGGAATCCATGGCGGTGAAGACAGGACAGCTGTGTGTGCTTTTCTCTGAGACAGAGATGCACCGATGAGGGCGGCGTGACTCATGCTGAGAACCAAGCGGAGTGCGGAGCTCACTCTGGACGTGTCCCTGGAGACCCGTCGGTCACCCGTGCAGTAGTGGTAACCACAGGGGAGACGGAGGGGGATGTCAAATGATGGGCACCAGTAGTGGGAGCACAGGCTGGACAGAGGTGGCCAAAGTGGGACTTGAGGTCCATGGGAACGCAGAGCCACGGATTCGGTATGTGGGGCCCAGGACCAGGTGGGCGGCAACCACTCAGGATCCAGGCCCACCGTGCCTTACACTCACACTCTTGGCCTCTGGAGAGCGGTGCTGTCAGATCTCAGCCTCTCATCTCCAGATGTTCCAGTCAGATGGGGTCATTTCTCTTTTCTTGGGTTTTTTTTTTGGTACTGGGGATTGAACTTGGGTCCTTGTGCTTGCAAGGCAGCGGGCGGGGGGCGGGGGACCACAGAGCTAAATCCCCAGCCCAAGATGGGGTCATTTCTTATTGTAACTTCATTGTCATTAATCAAGTCCATGAAGGAAGCCCAGAGTTCCGGCATCTCCTCTCCCTGCTGGCATGAAGTCATAGCCAGCAACTGAGTCACGGGGTGGTGGGGTTCCCAAGCCAGACCTCTGCAGGGGGCAGGGGTGTGCTGAAGTGACCGGAAGCAGAGCTAGAGCCCAAGTCTGGATCGTGTGGGAACACAGATGTGGACACCTCACGTTGTCTGCATGATGAACTCACAAAAAACCAGAAGATATGGCAAGGTCAAATCAGGACAGCAGCTCAGCAAAAGCTGCACCCTTGGCATTCAGGTTCCTGAGACCAAAGCGTTTTGTCTCCTGCACTCAAGGAAGGCACAAGGAGCCGAGCAGGTCTATCTACTCTAGGCAGAGGAGGCAAGAAGTCAAATTTCAGCTCGATGTGGATGTTCACTTTTTGAGTTTGGTGGAACCAATGCAAGGCTGGTTTTAGGGTCAGAGGAATGGGCTTGCATCTTGGGTCCGGTGTTTCCTGAGGTGCTGGAGGAGACAGCGCCCCCATCCCCTGTGGACTTTTATAGAAATCCAGCACCCTGCCCCTGGGGCTCTGAGTCAGTTACAAGAAATTAAGACCACAGGTCCTCCTCTGAGATAATTTCTGATACGTGATTTTAAAAGAACATAAACATGAACGCTGTCCAGAAACCTCCTCCAGAACAGCTGCAAGCTGCGTATCCCACAAGGCTCTGGTGAAGACCAAATGAGAAAATGAGTCCACATGCCGGGGAGGATTGGAGACAATTAGACATCACGGAACCATGATGTCATGGGGTTATTTATTTTAGGCCTTTTAACTGTGGGTGAATAATCATTAAAGAGAGATTTGGTTTTGGTGAAAGACATGGAAATGATTTTCCAAGATACTAAAGATTAGGCTTAATGTCAGAAAAGGAAACGAAGAAACAAAGTAGAATGAAAATCAGATTTCTGGTCCTTACTTCCCTAAACCTCTCTAGTAGGAAAACCACACCAACTTACAGTTAATGTCTGAACAGCTATTACAAAGGATAAAAAGGGAGAAAAGTTTCTTCCTCATTAACTCTAAACCAGTCACAATGAAGCTGTTTCTGAGATGCTTTCCAGGCAGAGAGCGCCAGGCTGACGAATTATAAAGGCACCCCCCAAAAAAAACAACAAACCCTCCCTTCGAGATCTCTGTTAGGTTGGGGAAACTTTTAGGACGTGGGAGGAACACAATGGAAAAGGTGCCGGGATTTTCGACCTTGGCTTCCTTCCTCTGGAGTTCTAATTCTTTGGGCAAAGAATAACAGACAAACTATAATAGCAGATGGAAAGGAAGTGATTTTTAATGAATCCCACAGGCATAAAACCAGTCCTGACCAGGCTTTGAGACTATTTGTTACCCGTAATCCTAAATGAAGGCAGCTCTGCCAAGAGCAGGTTTCCAGTAGAAAGGGATCGGCACCGAAAGCCCAGAGCAGTGCCTACTGTGTCCTGGAGAACGTGGGAGCGGCACAGTGGTGGGGAGGGACGGACAGCACCGACGCGTGGTGCACAGACGTGTCCTGTAGTCACCTGTGTTCCTGCTCTGCGGAAGAAGCCAAACCCAGCACCAGCCCTCCAGGCTCACCCCCACCACAGACTTCCTCTCCGGCAAATGAGTGCCTTTGTCCATAGTGGGGAAGATGCGGAAGACTTCTCCTAAGTATTTTACGGATCCTGCCCAGGATCTATAAAAGTCACGGTCCAGCTAAAGGAAAGCAGCTTCGCTTCCTCTGGAGCGACAGCGACAGTGCATTTTACCTTATCACATTTTTCCCGTAGAACACCGACCAGTGCGACTTCGGGCTCCGTCTCCCTGTCAGGCTCTGACGTTGCCTGGCAAACAAGCTTTAGCCTAATTTATCATTTTTGGGGAGGGTGGGGTGGGGGGAAGAGAACATTCTCCAATCGACAACGTGGCCCTTTTATTTAAACCGAAAGGCATCGTTACATAGTGCAAATGTCTCTTTGGTAAAGTACTGAATACAATGAACATAAAAAAAGGCACTTGGCTGTCAGCAAAGGTTAGAAAAGTAAATAAATATGTACACTTTGCTTCCTGTTACAGCAATCCCCTCACAGTGGCTGCTAAGAGTTCACGACCAGGTACTGCCCCGTCTCCGTAAGAAGATACAACATCATCAAACCGGCGACTCTCTGGCATCTTGGGTGGAATCACAGAACTTGATTTCAATCAGTCACCTTCCTTCCCCTCTTTTGTTTAGAGACTGAGAACCCCAGACACCCACCTGCCCACCACCTGCTCTGCCAGTGTGCATGCTGCCAAAACTGAGAGGCCACAGACACCCGCAGGCACACGAGACAGCGAAGCACCCGACCAGACTCTGCCGTCAATGTCATGCCCAAGAAACTTTCACACCACGCCATTTTGACAGACTCATACGCTGCCTACTTTACAGAACTCTCTTCCAGGACTCGATCGCCAAGTTTGATTTAGTATTTCAAAAGAAGTGCCTGCAGCAGGAAACACCAAGCAGGTTTCACTTACCACCTAGCAACATGCAGGTAAGACATCAACACACACACCCTTGACGAAGCCAGTGTGGGCTGCTCACACTCGTGGCTGGAGTGCTGACCATGCCTGTGGCACACTCAGTGTCTGTCACACTCAGCTTCTCAGGTCTCTTTCTGTGGGAAGGGAGCTCACCAGAGCATAGATCACACCCAATCAAACCAGACTCTCAAGTGCCCGTCTGTGCCAGCCACGGTCCCCCACCGGGTAACATCTCACGATGACACCTGTGCCCTCAGGCCCTCTGTCTTCTTGACAGATGGTCCCCGTGTTGGCATCCAGGCTTTCACAGAGCCTGGCACACAGGGCTCATGGGCAAATAAATGAGTGTTGATCGAAACTTGCATGCTCGAGGGAGTGTCCCTCAGAACACAGACTGCTTTGTTTTCAGGACAAAATGGAAGGTTTTGGTCAATTAGAAAGAGAGACCATGAGGTATGATAGTTGGCTTTCACTAAATTCTCAAAAACAACTTTTGCAGAGTGGAAATGATTTTTCTGCCATAGTCAATACCTGAAAAAAAATGGGTAAATTTTCAAAAAAACATGATGCATTTTGAAAGTACGCATGAGGTATAGGGACTGAATTCTTTTTAAAGGGTTCATACAACGTGAAGTTACAGAGTTTCCACAGTCGAGCTCCCCCTGTGTGTCACCCGGGGACGATCGGTGGGGGGGTGAGTCTGGCACTCGCGTGTGGACCGACTTCCAGGCTGCAGACTGCTTGCCAAGCACACCGCCACCGGAGGTCACCACATGTGACACCGAATGAGGTTCCATGTCCGGGTCACAGGCAGCCCGGCCAGGGGCACTCGCAGTGGAAACAGGCCCGTTTCTAAATGTGGCTTATGATGAGACAGGCACGTGTGCAAGGAGCAGGACTGGCGTCAGGGGAGGGACAACGGCTCTGTTAAATGGTGATGAGCTGAGAAACGTCAGAAACCCCACAGCGGGAAGAGGGCAGACAGGGAGGAGGAGCAAGATCCTGTTCCATTTGCCAAAAGTAGATTTTCTTTTTCAGTGTAGCCTGTGATGTCACCCAGATGCTCCAGGACTCCGTTCCCAGGATGGGTGCCACCTGCCTGGCCCCAGACTCAGGCACAGGGATGTGCAGAGGGACCCTGCTCCACTGGAAAGGGATTCTCGGGAGCTGGCATGAATTTAGGAGCCTAAAGATTGAACTGTGCAATTTAATGGTAGCACCAAATTTTCATCTTAAAATAATTAAATAAAAACCTGAGAAGTCTGACACGTAGTGAGGACGTGTCTGCCCCCTTCCTGTCTGCTCTATTTCCTTGGCACGGACGTGGGCCCGAGCAGCCTGTGCTGCAACCCCGAGGCCTGGCCCAAGGTCCCGGTGGGTCTCAGTCCCCGTGTAGCCTTCAGTCTTCACTTCCGGTCGGCATGCCATCTCCCGAAGACACGCAGATGACCCCCAGGAGCTCCACCAGTACCTAGGGCTTCTCCTCCAGGGCTTTCTTTGGGCAGACTGGACAGCATGTGCCTTCGGCTTTCACGGGTGCCGGGCAGGAGGCAGGCAGGCAGGCTTCCACAAAGCAGGTGACCTGCCCGTCCTGGGGGGGCAGACATGCCTGGTCACCCTGGCCACGGCCCCGCTTCTCACAGCGTACCCCAGGCTCATGCCCAGAGTGACAGGCTCACATCCCCCACAACTGCACCACAGGGGTGATTCTGGGAGCTTCCCAGCTGCACACAGGCACTAGCCAAGGCCCACAGCCTCTTCTTCTGGGGACTCACGCTCCCAATCTTCTGTCCATCACCCTGACAGGAACCCATGGCCACAGCCTGTGACCCCGCTGGGAAGGTGGGGGACAAAGAGAAGGGGAAGGAGGCCCAGTCTGTCCTTCCCAAGCGAGACCAGACCAGGGATGCTGGATGCCACTCTCACATCCAGGACAAAATGACAAACCTGTCCCTGGTGCCCAGAGGTCCCAGACAGGCCCTCATCACCCCTGCCCTGCTCCCTGCTCAGACCGGGCACCCCCACCTGCCCACAGGAGCCGGGGACCCCAGGCAGGATGGACAGCTATGTGGCTTGTGCCAGAGAATCCTGGGCTGTTGTTGGCTCTGCGGCAGGAACCTTCCCGAAGTGGGGCAGTGCTGTGGGTCGGGGCTGACCAGCACCAGCACCTTCTCCACAGTGCACCTGGTGGGGGATCTGTGGGGTCCTGGAGCCCCTGACCCCTGAGCCACCCCACCCCAGGTGGCTGTGGGGAGCCACATGGGCCCTGTACTCACGCTGCACGCGCACGTGGTGCAGGAGTCCGTTTTCCACTTTGTGTTGTTGGCATGCGACCGGCCGTCGGTGTCCACACACTCTGAGGCGCTGAGCCGGGACTCGAGCTTGTTTATCTGCAGAGGCAGAGCAGCCCGGTCATGGCACGGGTCTCCTGTGGGGTGTGTGTCCCATGGGACAATGCCTGCAGACACCCGATAGGAGGGCACGGGGTTGCAGTGTGGTCATGACAAGGACGGAAGGGGCCCAGACACCACAGCCCTGCCATCAATCTATGAGAACATCCTGCACTTAGGTTTCCAAAGAACGAGTGGCCATCACCGTCAGCTCCAGAGCTCTGGTTTTCTCTGGACGTGAGGCATAAAGGCGTGAGCGTGTGGATCCTGGGATGTGACGGGAGAGCAGAAGTCCCCTGGGGCTGAGGTCCCCAGCTGACTGGCACCAGCGGCTGGTTTTGTGGCAGATAATTTCTCCAGGGACAGGTGGGGGTGGAGGGGTTTCGAGATGACCCAAGTACACTACATTTACTGTGCCGTTTCTAGTATTATCACAGCGTGTACTGCCTGTAGTATAATCACACCACCACTGTTTCCCCTGTCACTGCACTCATTCTTACAAGGGCGAGCACCCTGCATCCCCCGAATGAGCGGTTCACGGGGGCACTCCCGCGTCAGTCTAAGGCCTGACGGAGGCCAGGCTCAGCCTGCAAGGCCAGCAATTGGGCGTGGCTGGAAATACAGACGCTTCGCCCACCCCTCCGCCGCTCACTTCCAGTTTCCTAACAGGGTCGGGGACTCCTGACGTGGAGGATCCTCGCTAACCAACACCCTGTGCACTGCTGTGGGCGCAGACAGGGCGACAAGGCTGGAGGCCCTGGGGTCACCCTCCAGAGTAAGCAGCAGCTGGGTTCCCACCTCTGTGGAGGACCGGCTGCCTGGACCCCCTGCGCCTCCTGGATGGCTCCTTAACTTTGGGTTTTCTGTCAGTTACAACTGAGCTAAAAGGAGCCATTACGGTAGTCTGGAGTGGGTGTCCCAATCCTTGGAACAAGCTTTCTCACGAGCATTGTGTGGTGGTGGGTCAGCTGTCCGCTTCAGTGACAGGTGACAACAGACACTCACAGCTGGATGACAAAGCTCTGCGTCCACGCTGTTCCTGCAACAGCTGCCATGCAGAGATGTGCGGGCCCATTGTATACAGGAACATGGACCTCACGTGTGCAAACTCATGCTGCCCCAGTGCCCAGATCACCTCTGCCAGGTGAGGTGATGCACACCTATAATCCCAGCACTCTGAGAGGCCGAGGCAGGAGAATCCTAAATTCAAGCCCAGCCAGGACAACTCAGCAAGATCGCGTCTCAAAAAAAAGGAGGGAGGGCTGGGGTTATAGCATAGTGCAAAGCTCCTGGGTTTAACTCCAGGAACCCTCCAAAGAAATCCCCTTTCTTCTGTATTTTAAGGTGATTTTTACCCTTGAAGAGCAACCGTCTAAGATTTAATTAGTTGAATAGCTATTCACCTTGTGAAACATCTCAGATTCACTTGGCTTCTAAATGAAACCAACTATTCTACATGAATCATTCATTAGCATGATGATATGTGATGTGTTAAGATTTTTTTTTTTTTTGGTACTGTGGATTAAACTCAGGATCTTGCACTTAAGAGTCAGGAGGCAGTGCCACTGAGCTAAATCCCAGGCCCTAGCACGATGATATTTAAGTCACTAAAATCGTAGAAATTTGTCATCAAACCCATGAAGACAAGGAGCGTCCCTGTGTTCCCAGGAGCCAGACCCGTCCGTCCTGCCAGGCCCCAGGCATCTGTGGCCAACCCTGCTTGAACTCAAAGCCCCGACAATCAAGTACAAAGCTGGCCTGTACATGCCTCAGAGGTCCTCGGGCATGGGTGGCCACGGCCAGATGTCAGCGAAGGGACCAAGTCTGGCTACCTCCACGCTGAGCCACAGCTGCCTATAAAAGTCACAAGGATGTTCTATACTTCAAGCTCCCTGCACTGCTGCCCCTGTGTGCTCTAGGTAGGACCCGTGAAAGTCACCTGTCCGCCTGGCCCACTCTGCCTCCCTTGGGGCTCGCAGTCCCCATCAAATCCCCAGGACACACGTGTCTGTCACCACCTTGACGTCTACAGGGGCTGGTGTCTGCATTTGTGGCCTGGCACCTCCAACTGAGAGGATGGAGGACCTAGGGGCACAGAAGGGGCAGAAACCACCTCTGAGCCCAGGGGATCTCATTATGGTTTAGATCTAAAACGTCCCCCAAAGCCTCACGCACGATGGTGGAAGGTGATGGACCATGGGACGCTGTGCTCGTCAGTGGATCCATCATGGGTGCGTTCAGGGCTGAGTGTGCTGTAGGAGGTGGGGCCTGGTGGGAGGAGCTCACTGGGGTGTGAACTGGAAAGGTGCATTCTTGTCCCCAGCTCCTCCCTGCTTCCCGGATGCCATGGTGTGAGCAGCCTTCCTCCTCCGGGCTGTTTCACCAGGCTGCTTCTGCCTTGGAAGCAGCAAGGCTGCTGACCATGAACTGAACCCTTCAAAACTGTGAGCCAAATTAAATCTGTGCTGGGCCAGGGATTTAGCTCAGCAGTTCGGCAGCCTGCCTCGCAAGTGCAAGGACCCGAGTTCGATCCCCGGTACCAAAAAACAACAACAACAACAACAACAACAACAACAACAAAATAAATCTCTTCTGTAAAAATAAATCTCCTGTAAGCTGTGGGTGCGGGGTACTTTTGTCCCAGCAACAGGACGGTGGTGAATGCATCAGTTTTCTGAGCTGCACCTACAAATCCCAAGCACCAGGGAAGGCACCACATGTCCTTGAGTCCTCCCTGTGCCACCACCCGGTGTGTGCACCTGCTCCCCCAGGCCTGCCATCTCAACTCCACCCGTTCAGTACAATGACCATGAAAGAGGCAGAAACCAGTTCCTGGGGGTTGGGAGGGAGGAGCACTGTGCGTGGACACCACTTGCCCACGACAGCCATTCCAAAGCTACTCCCGAAAAGTGGCCTGGAAACAGGAAGTAAAGTCCACGTCCCAACATCATCCCACACCTGCTTTTTGTGACTATGAGCTGGTGACACTAAGTGCCTACTGCCAAGTCCTTCGCTTGGGAAACCCAGCCAGAGAGTTCAGTTGTGCAGGCCTGGCAGAGGCGAGCAATGGAGAAGGGCAAAGCCACCGGGAGGGGATGCCTGAGAGGGCACTGGGCAGGCTGCACACACCACGCTTCCCTGAACAGGAAAGAGACGAGCTGTGGGAAAGGTCTGCACGGGAAAGGGCGGGGCGCGGTGCTCGCTGGGCTGGCGTTACCTGCTTTCTGAGCTCTGTGATGGTATTCTGCATTTCCAGGACAAAGTCTTTGAAGTCGTTTGTGGCCAGGCCTTCTGAGTACTCAGAGAGTGCTGCTGTGGCATTGCCCGGGAGTTTGCTGTGTTTTCCGACACTAAGGGGGAAAGCAGGAGAAGCAGAGAAATGTCACCTCCACAGGGATGAGATCTTTGCTTCTGGAGCGCCCTTCCTCCCTGCCTGGCACTCAGACACAGGCTGTGAGACTCGTCCCCACCCTAACACCCACTCCAGGATGTTCCTGAGGTACCCAGACGATCCGAGCGAAGACGTATCCCCCGGCCCTGCTGCCCCTCTCGGTTCCCCAGACACACGAACCTCAGTCCCCTTCGGGGCCTGGTTCTCCCGGCTGGCTGGTCCTCCTGGTAGCTGAATTCCAGGGACCGTCTGCCTCGGAAGTGGTAGGAAAATGCATTGAACTGCCCCCGGGTTCTGCAGTCTAGAGAGGACATGGAGAGGGTCTGTGAGTGGGACCAACGGTGGGGAAAGTGAGCACATCCAGTGGAACAGGAACAATTCTCACGTCGCAGCTACTACACCCACAGAAGAGAGCAGGCTGGGCTGTTACTGGGTTGGCCCCGAAGAGCTCCAAGCTGGTCTGCTTTGCCATCAGAGCTGCTCAAACCTTATCACCAGCTCATGCCTACCTGTAGCAGGCCTGTGGGACACACACAGGGGAAGAGGTAGGCCTGGAAGTCCCTGACACCTCCTCCTGTGGCTGCAGGTGGAGTGAGGAGCCTCGGCCCTCTCACCCGGACTCGGCACACATCACCCCAAGACCATCACACACCGCCGTGAACCACTTCTGTAATTCATGTCAGCAGCTCATCATTGAGCTCGAGCTGAGCCCAGGGCTTGATCTACTCCTCTACATGTCGCCCAGAAGAGCACAGCGCCATTTCTTACACAGCTCCAGGGACACAAATAATCCACCCGTGTCTCCTGCCAGCAACCCCAGCCCTGACTGGAGCCTCCTCCCAGGTCCCCAAAGAGGCTCAGCATTGGCCCAGGTCTCCACTGATCACAGCACCACGCGGTTGAGGCCAGGGAGAGGCACACAGGGCCGCCATCCTCACTAACAGCGCCCTCCTGGCCCTTTGCTGTACAAGGCACGTGGCTGGGCCACACTGCTCGGCCCCAGCTTGCACAGCGCCCGGCTACCTGCCTCCCCAGGCGGAAGCACTTGCTAAAGCAGATGTGCTTACCAGAAATGGGCAGGGCCTAGAAAGTGACCTACGGGTCTGTGTAATGGGACGACACGCTCTGAACTCACAGCCTTAGTCAGGGAGCGTCGTGGGAGGGGCTCTGTCCCATGGGTGGGACCTGCCTTTGGCCAGGGCCCTTGCGGGGTGGGGGTGAGGAACTACTAGAGAGGAGGAAAGCGCCCCTCTTGTAACTTGGGTAACACGTGCCCCAGATCACAGCCTGGCCTGCCTAACACCCAGGCCCACGTGCAGCCTGACTGGGAGGCGGACGTCAGACAGCCCACATGCAGGGACACACTATAAAAAGGAGCGATGCCAAGGCAGGGTGAGAGGCCACAGAATACACAGGAGACATGAATCACGACCCTGGACAGAAGCTGGCTGTGGGACATAAAACTAAGTGAGCAGTCCTAGAACAAATGGTCAAATTTGGGTAAGGTCTGGAAACCAGATAACAGTACTGTATTTTATTCATGCTACCCCCCGCTTTTTTGAGACAGGGTCTCACTACATAGTTGAGACTGACCTGGAACTCACTATGTAGCCCAGACTGGTTCCGAACTCACAGCGATCCTTCTGCCTCAGCCTCCAGAGTGCTGGGATTACAGAGGTGCACCACCACGCCCTTACCCCCCACCTTGAAACAGGCTCTTGATACTCACTTAAGGTTGGCTTGAACTCAATTCATAGCCCAGGCTGCCCTCGAACTTGCAGTGATCCTTCTGCCTCAGCCCCCCATATGATAAGTGGGTGCCACCATGCCTAGCTCTAATTCCTCGATTTTGACTGGACTTATTAGGAGCAAAGTGAGGCAGTATCTAGAGCTTACTGGGTTAACTTACAAAAACATGTAATTTATTAATTTATGCACAGACATACACACGCACCAATAATACATAGCGAAAAGCTAGTAACGGGTAAGGCTAGGTGAAGTTCAGCAGGTCTTTGTATTACTTTAGTGATTACTGCAATGATGTCAAAAATGCCAAAGTGTACATCAGGTGTGAACACACGCTTGTGCATGTCTGCCTGCATGTGCCTATGTGTGAGCACGCATGCATGAGTATGTCCTTCCCTCAGACCAATCCCCGCAATAGTGCACAGCTTTTACTCTGGTTAAAAAAGGCAGATGTCACCCCGCATGGTGGCGCACCCCTGCCATCCCAGCACTCGGGAGGCTGAGGCAGGAGGAACGCTGCAAGTTCAAGGCCAGCCTGGGCTACACAGTGAGTTCAAGGTCAGCCTGAACTACACAGTGAAACCCGTCTCAAAGAAAAACAAAGCAACCCCTGCCCACCACCACTAACAAAAGAAGGAGCGAGGGTGCCCCCAGATGCAGCTCCTCAGGTCAAGGGGTGTGGGTCTCCCACGTACCATTTTAAAGGTTGAATTAATAGTGAACAGTAACCAACCCTGGCCTTGTCAAGCTTTAATTCTTTTTTTTTTTTCTTTCTTTGCTATATTTCAGATATGGCTTTTGGTCTGAAATAAAACAGGAAAACTGAGAACATATTCTTTAGGCTCTGTGGCCAAGGGCACGGAGGCAGAGGCCTGAGGAGGTGGGTCACTGCTTCAGAGTAAGGGGTTTGCCAGGAGCCAGGGTGCGGCGCCTGGCTCAGTCCCCAAACAGTGGGTTTTCTGAGCAGAACAGCAGAAAACCTGGCTCCAGCCCTTCTCAAGGAACTGGGGGGAGTCTGGTAAAGTTATCAGAAAATGAAGCTTTTGTATTTGAAAACAAGAATTGGCTTTTCCCATGATTTCCAAGAGGACAATTTTCTGCCAACACAGGATGAAATTCTCTGAATGCTTGTGGAAAAGCATTCAAAGAGAGCAAACCGCAAGAATATAAAATAAAAACAAAAAAACCCTGTGAAAAACAGATGCAGGTTCCTAAAAAATGTGGGAACAGGATGGGTAGGCAGGCAGACAAAACTGTATCTCACACAGACACAGACACACACACAGTGAATTGTTAAAAACAGACTTGAATATTCAGCCCAGACTTCAATACTTACTAATTTAAATAACATCTTGAACTACTAATATCAGTAAAAAGGACCAATATTCTGATGAATATCACCCCCCTCCCCATGATCCAGTCACCTCCCCAAAGCCCCAGCTAGCAGTGCAGGAGGCTTTGGGGGGGACACTTAGACATGAACCGTAACCACGGTGAACATGAGATTCGGGAATGCATGGTAGGAACCAGGCCATGAGGACAGTGGCCATGAGAGGCAGATGTGGTGTCTCTGTAGGCCAGCTGGGGCAGGAGAGCCAGGAACTGGGCAGCTGACCTTGTTCTGGGGCCTCCAAACCTAACACTGGACCCCTCACAACCGTGGGCACTGCCAACACTGTCAGAGGAGACCTTGGGTATTTCCTTCTGCTCATCACAGAACACCCAGTGCTCACTATAATAAAGGAAACCAGATCTGCTTCCTTGATATGTTTATTTCCCCCGCTTATCTGTGGATACGGACATATAGGCTAAGGCACAGATATTTATAGATATTTGAGGTTTACACTTGATCTTAGCCAAAAGGCTGAGAAGCGATGGTATTTATGAGGTTTAAAGCCACATTACTAAAGCTCTGTCTCTTTTACTATTATGCTTATGACTATATGGACGGTCCTAAGGATTTTTAAAAGAGCTGGAAGTTTCCTATCACCTAGTGGTGGGGACATCAAGATTACGTGCCTGTGATGAAGCCCATGTAAGGAAACCACTGGGTAACAGTCCTACAATACAGCATTATTACATGCAGTGCATACTACTTGGTAATGATGAGAAAGGCAATGTTGCTGATTCGTGTATTTATTGTGTTTGTGTGTGTGTGTGTGTGTGTGTGTGTGTGTGTGTGTGTTGAGAGAGAGAGAGAGAGAGAGAGAGAGAGAGAGAGAGAGAGAGAGAGAGAGAGAGAGAGACCGCATCACCCTGAGTATTCCCACAATGCCAGGATCGCCTGACCACGTTTCTTGGCAAGCAGCACTGTACAGACCGAGCCCAATGGAGCCCACCTCTCTTCCAGCTGGCTGTCCTGAGCATGCACCCAGGAAAGCACGCCACGCCACACACCTTCACAGCAGTCCTGCCACACACGGAGGTCCACCCTGGGGACATCCTCGCAGCTGCCGTAGCCGTGGGGGAACTCGGCCACCCTGAACACATCCGCCTGCACGCGTGTGATGTTGTCCGAGTTGTCGCACAGGATCCGGGCCAGCGAGGTCTGCTTGATCTGCGTCAGCTGGGCGGGGGAGAACACCCCTGGGTTCTCGTACCATAGCCTGTGCCCGGAAGACAGCAGGGTCAGAGGTGACAGGGCCTCCCAGGCCATGGGAGTAGGGATATCCCTTCCCGCTCCCCAGAAATCCCATTTGCATCAGCAGCAATTAAAAGCAGAGTCAGCCCCCTCAGATAAGACCCAATCAAACAGGCAAATGAAACAGACAGACATTTTTTGGAAGAAGTACAAACGGCCAGTAAACACAGGAAGAAGGGCTCAGCATCACTGGCCATGAAAGAAACCCAATTAAAACACTGAGATTTCATCTTACTCCAGAAAGAATGTCCATCATCACGAAATCAAATAAATGCTGGCGAGGCTGCGGGTAAAAGGAACCTTTCTACATTGCAGGTGGGAATGTAAACTAGTGGAATCACTGGAGATCTGTGTGGAGATGCCTCAAAAAACAAAAACTAGAAATTCTATTCAACCCCACCTTTCTCCTCCTAGGCCTCTTCCCCAAAGAGTTCATGACATCGTAGCACAGTGATCCATGCACACCCGTGTTTACGGCAGCACAACTCGTAACAGCAAGAGCTGGGAAGCAGCCTCTGTGTCCACCAACAGATGAGTGGATAAAGAAACGTGGAGGGCTACACACCACGGAGGACTGCTCTGCCATAGAGAGGGCTAAACTTGAGTCACGTGTAGGAAATGGGTGCACCTTGAGACCATGAAGCTAAGTGAAATAAATCCGACGCTTAAAAAAAAAATAGATACGGCAGAGCTGTCTGCAGAATTCCTCTGGAACAGGCATTAAATGAATAACAAACTGCAAATGAAAATAAGTCCTGCCAGCTCAAGTCCCTGAAAGTCCTGCAATGGTTCAGCTGTGTGGCTTGCTCAGCGGGCAACCCTCGTCACAGAAATGCCCTCTTAGACGCTGGGCACCACAGTGGCCAGAAGGCACAGTTCTCGGGTCCCAGGGTTAGGGTCGGTTGGCTCCCTCCCCAACGAAGGGCTCACCTGTCCCCATCCCGCAGACGCCGGAACTGCGTGCTGAGCAGACACATGAGCGTGGGCCCCAGCCGGCTGCCAGGCACCAGGTCCTCCACCATGAGGGCCGGGAACAGGTCGATGTTGAGCGGGGAGCCGTACAGCCTGCGGAAAGGAAGTCAGACTTGAGCTCACCCTACAGCTGCGCGTGGTGCAGAAATACAACCAATACGGGAAGCACGTGTTCTTCCCGGATTTTACATATTTTGAGCTTTCCTTACAGAAAGTTGCCTGTATTTCTTCGCTGCATCCATCAATTTTAAAGAATTTTTTCCTACATTTTATTATGTATAAAATGCAGACATACATTTGCTTATTTAAGAAATTTAGAACCCCCCCCAACCCGAAGTTTGTAAGGAAGAAAATTTAGGCACATTTTTGCTTGTTTTTCCAGAATAAAAACATCTCTTATCACAGCACAGACACTTCCTGTTTTTTCCATAAATATATGAATAACCAACAAGTAACTTTTAAACTGGCACACTGTAAAATAATAAAATTGGATTCTACTGTGTATTGAAAATAGAGTAGCCATAATGAAAGTATCTGCTAAAGAAAGACAGCAACAACCTAGGACAAGGCTTAAACACTCAAGGGCAAACACCGCCACCAAGCTCTTCCAACTCTGTGGAAACAAAGGCGCTCACACAGAGAACCGACAACTGCTACAGTGTTTTTCTCCAGTGTGGCAGAATTTCTAAAGAGCTCTCTGGGGCGAAGCCACTTTCTTGGTTCAGCTGCTACTGAATGCTCGGGTAGAGTTTTAGAAAGTTTCCCTCTCCGAGTCCCAGCGCCCACTCCCACGACATCACTGTGAGTGACGCTGACGGGTATCTGCCATTGAGCACGTGTTAAGGCAGTGTCCATGTGCTGCTTTTCTCCTCAGCTCAGCGGCCTGGGGCTGACCACGCAGCTCCGAGATGCCCCAGAGGTCAGAGGAACCTGCCAGGCGAATGTCCTCCTCCTCTGCCCGCTAAAGGGCTCTGCACAGGTGGGAAATACCTCACTCCCCAGGCTCTACAGTGGGGACCCCGGAGTTCTGGGATGCACCCCTCATCAAAGAGGCTGGGGATCCTAGATGTGGGCCTGCTGGGTTGGGGTAGGGGGCGCCAAGGTTGCCCCCAAATATAAAACCTCAGCTGGTGCCAGAAGTGGCACAATTCACAATAGCTAAGTCTTAGAAGTGGCCCCTATGTCCATCCAAAGGTGAAGGACATGTGTCCACACACCGTGGAGCGCTGCTCCACCACAAGGAAGCATGAAGTTGAGCCAGGTATAGGAAAATGGATGCACCTGGATATCCTAACATTTAAATCAGACATGCAGGTTTCAGTATTGCGTGGTTTCTCTTACATGAGGGACCCAACGTATAAATAAAGAGCAAAATAAAAGCTAGGTAGTGGGAAGAGCCCCCCCACAGTTCCCATGCTCACCTCTTCAGCTTCTCCCTTATGTCGGGGTTCTTGATCTCGTTCTTCAGGTCCTCGAATGTGTGGGCGGCCGACAGGTTGCAGTAGACCCGGTAGTCATGGTAGGGCGGGATGCCGTGGTCACGGCCACGCTGGATGTTGATGGCTGCCAGGTCGAGGGCCACCGTGTGCGCCATGGAGAAGAGGCGCTCGGTGAGCTCCGTGTTGAGCAGCTGGGAGGGCACGCGCATCTTCCCGGCCACGCCGAACAGGCCCCGGAGCAGCGGGTCGATGCCGCCCTCGTTCACGATGCGAAAGGGCGAGAAGAAGGCCTTGTGCAGGGGGACGTGGCCCTGCGCGATGGGCTCGAAGTTCTCGTCCAGCCGGTAGAGCACGGGGTTGACCAGCGTGTGGCCGAAGCGGAAGACAGCAGTGGCGAAGGCATTGAAGATGCCGGCGTTGACGCTGGGGTCATAGCCACGGTACTCGCTCAGCATCTTCATGCCCACCTCCCCCAGCACCTTGGGCAGCCAGTGCTGGTAGGTGATGTGCTGGACCTCAGCACCCACGATCTTGCGGGTCTCGTAGTAGATGGTGTCCCCGTCCCAGTGCGGGTTCAGGGCCAGCAGCTCGGCCGCGATGCGGTTGTGTTCACGGAACCAGAGCGTGTGCATGCTGGTCAGGCCCAGCTGCTCGTTGGCACGGTGGTCCCCGGCCAGGAAGCAGGGGATGGGGCTCTCGTTCTCATCCCGCATGCACTCGGTGGGGGGCCCGGTGGCGAAGGGTAGCAGCGGCTTTCCGGACCTCTGCACGATGCCCTGGCGAAGCAGGCCGCGGTGGCCGGCCAAGTCCCGCACAGCGCGGGCCTCGTGGTCTGTGCTGCCGTATACGTTGGACGCGTCGACATAGGAGGTGAGCTGGTTGATCTGCTCCCGCGGGTACACAGAGTTCATGAGCAGGGACGTCATGCCGCTGCCGCACACGGGGCTGGAGCGCACGAAGAACATGCAGCGTGCTCCACCGCGGGCGCGGGGGTCGTCGGGGGGGATCATGACAGAGAAGCAAGGCGGGTCGCTGCCGCACACCGAGCTGCAGGGCTGCCCGTCGGAGAAGCGGGCCTGGCTCAGGGCCACCACGGTGGAGTCCAGGTCGTGGTCCAGGAACTGCCCCCACTGCATGAGCATGTGTGTGTACTGTGCATCGGGCGTGACCACCTCCGTCCCGATGAGCGTGGTGGACACCAGGCGCGGCATAGGCAGCGCGTGGCCGTGGTATGACCGCCGGGGGCTGGTGCCACGTGGCGTGTTGAAGCCGTTCTCGTACACGGCCTTCAGCAGGCGCTCAAAGGCGGTCAGCGAGGCGCCCCACATCGGGTGCTGTAGGTTGTTGCAGGTGCCGTCGTGGGTCCGGTACTTCTGGTGGAAGCACATGTCCGAGCAGTTGTTCACGCGCCGGTGCGCGGTGCAGCCCGAGAGGTTGGCGATGAGGCTCAGGTACTGCGGGGACACCAGGTCATTGTAGTGGTAACCTGCAAGGGGGACGGCCCCAGGTCGGTGCAGAGCCGCACCCGCCCTGTGTGGCAGAACTCCGCCCTCCACGCCGGGGCACAGCATCCTGGTTGCATTTCCACCTCTAGCTCCGATGTGGGGACTGTTCACGGTCGCTGGCCCAGCCCGAACCCGTGTACTTTCTTCTTTTCTGCATCACTCAACCACACACAATCACCCAAGCAGTCGGCACTCCACACCTGCACACCCTCCCATGTGTGTTTGACACATGCGTATGCCAAATGGGCACATTCTCACACTTGCAAGATGTACAGACATGTGGGCATGTATGCTCACATGCAAACAGGGTCACAAGACACGCTCATGTGCACATGTGTGCACATGGTGTGGGGTCCTGGGCCTTCAGTGCCTCTTGCCCTTAACTATCTCTGGGTATACCCAGCTGTTAAAGCAGCAACATATGGCCCTCCTTTCATGGGGCCGAGACCCAAGACATGCACAAGAGAACCCAAAGGAGGAAGACAGGTGGGGAGACAGAGAAGCAATCAGAAACACTACACCCGAACAAGCCACGAGGTGAGGAACATGAGCCACCACTACCCCACCCCAGGCTCCTGGCTCTTCCATCCTGGGCAGCCAAGGTGGCGCACACCTCACTCTGACCCAAGGTGTGAGGGTCAAGGGCCTGATGTGGCTCCTGGGAAGTCTCAGAACGCAAGGCTTGGACAGCAAGAGCACCGCAAGGGCTGGGAAGGAAAAGCCCTCTTGCTCCTCGGGGTGCCTGGGCTGCAGCAGAGGCAGGCACACCTATGGATGAGCAGGAGCCAGCATGGCCCCTGCTCAGATCCTCAGGGCTGGGCTCTGCCTCTGCCCATCCCACGACTCAGCGTCTCACGGCGCCAGTCCACGTGCGAGAACCTCAGGGCACCAACCCTTCTGAGCGTGCCCTGAAGCCCTCTTCTGCCCAACCTCCTCCACTTCAGACACTCTGACATGCAGATGTGGTCCCTCCTCGGAGCCTGTGTGCCTGCAATCCCCTACCTAGGGTGGCCCTGGCCTTGGGGGCCCCTGCTTGAGTGTTACCGTCTCCACGGAGACGGCACCCCGTCCTGCCTGGCCCCTCATCTCCCTCTTGCTTCTGCCTGCCTCAGTCTCACAGGTGGTTCCCCTTCACACCTGCACTTATTTCCCTGAAACGCCAGACCTTGGAGGCTAGGGCTGCTGGCTCCCCAAACCTGGCCAGTGCCACACAAAGCATGTGCCGAGCTTTGTGGGTGGGATGAGCGGATGAGGCAGGATGGGAAGCAGTAAGAAGAAACCTTTAGCACCTCCCACTCTGTCCTCTGTACAGGAGAGGACGTGAGCCCCTGTGCCAGGAGAGAAGAAATGCGCCCAGGGTGTGGGAAGGACCTATGCCTGGCAGGCAGAAAGCACCCAACAGACACTCTCAGAAAGAAGGAAACAGCTGCGGCTGGCTCCCAAGAGAAAGCCAGAGTGTGCAAGGCCTCTCTCTGCTTGGAGGCAGAGGACCGGAGGGTGAGCATCAGGGCCTGTGCTACACACAAGTGGACTCTGCAGAGCCTGCAAGGTTCAACTCCAAATGTGGCAGGATGGAGACTGGCTCAAGGCGTTGTTCATCTCCAGGGTGGGGAGAAATGAGCCCTACCCTCACCTGCACCCCACTCTCCTCTCACGTTCACAGGTCCCAACATCAAATCCCAGGCATCCCTCACACCTCAAGGATGGCTGCTGTGCGTGTGTGCACACGGGTGTGAAACGCATTCCCACTGAAAGGAACCACAGAAATGTTTCCCATGGTACAAGTCATGGCCGTCAGTAGCACAGCTCCAAGTGCGATCGTGATGTCTATAGCCAGTGCGGGGGCCAGAACCAGAGCCTGAGGGGCCACCTACAGCTTCCATGCACACCCGAGACAGTCTCCTTGGTGACTGTGTAGATGCTGAAGATCTCCGTGCAGGTCCTTCCTAACAGCCACGTGACACCGGGCTCTGTGGACACGGTACCCTTATTTATCCATGACCCTACAAAGTCTTCCCTTCCATCTCTGTCACTCAAGGACAGGGCCATCACAGCCTGCAGGGCAAAGGCTGAGCCACTCAGCATGGGTACGTGGGTGGCTCTGCCACAGCCCGACTGGCGAGTTCTCATCACCAACAGCCTCCTGATAGACCCTGAGACAGTGCAGCCCTGACTCATTGGCAAGGAGGAGCAGAAAGCAGGGACCTCTCTCAAGGCCCTTGCCACGTGCAGTGTGCATGTGACCTCGGGAGCAGGCAGGGCGGAGGGGAGGAAAAGGTACTGACTCGTGCCATTTAAGTCGACCATCAGTCCATGCCGCACGTGCTCCTGGATGAGCTGCAGCGTCCGCTCGAAGATCTCCCCGGCTCGGGCCTGTCCCACGGTGTACGGGTCCCTCGGGTACCGGAATAGGGCCAGAAGGTCATTGGGAGAGCGGGGCCGGCTGAGTGGGGGGAGAGGAGCGTGGAGACATTAGCATGGACAGACAGCACCAGAATTCGGAAGAACTGAGGCTAGGAATATATGGCTATGGCTACTGCGGACAAAGTGGGGTACTGTACCTGGCTTATCCGAAGTGGAAGGCAAAAGAACAACAAACGGACAGACAAGAACCAAGAGACACTAAAAACAAATCATTAATTAGGTCAAGAGAGAAAGTCATGGGTACTGCATTTCAATAAGGTACAGAGAAACTGCTGCAATTGCCAACCTGAGCACACGAGCAGTTTACTGAGGACTTTGGAACTGCTTCGTTTTTGCCAAATCACTTAGTAAAAGAATGCATGAATCACGGCTCCGACTCTATTAGGCAAGTACACATCCTCCTGTTACGCTAACACCCAGAGAGGTCGGGCCAATGTTGTTTACGAGTATGAAGTCAGAAGTTCTCTTGGGACGGAGCTAGCCAGAACCCTGGGCACCAGGCTGCCCAGATTCCAACCCCGCACCTGAGGTTGGGCATCCCATCCTTCGCCCAGGTACCTGTCGAATAAGTGTGTTCGCGTCGAGTTTATGGCTCTGTCCACGGTCGCGATCGCTTCGACAATGGAGGTAGCGACAAACGGGTCCCCGTTTCGACTGACATCGGGAACTAGGGAAACAGGAAGTGAGAAATTACCAGGAAAAATACTACATAAGCTACTCGTAAAATCATGTCTAGACACTACATCATGCAGGAGTAAGCACGCTTTCTCCAAGGGGTATTTATTTTCAAACCACAGCTTACATGATTTTTATCACAAATTCTACTAAGAGCTGTTTTCAAACAGTATGGAAACTGTAGACTGTTTAGAATTATGTGACAGCCTAGGAAAAAATAGGAAACGCGGGCATAATATGGAACATGGAAGTTTTACACTAAAGGTAACTTGGGGCTTGGGCCCTTGGGACTCAGAGGTCTTTCCTGAGGTGGCAAATGTCCCCTTTCCTGGTCTGCACGCTCCACACCTTCACACACACACACACACACACACACACACACACACACACACACCACACAGCACACGTGCACACACAATGCCTCACACACCATGCACACATTATGCTAGACACACACCTCGTATGTACATACACCACACGTCCCACAGCATATTCACACACACAGCATACCATATACCACACGTTAATGCAACACACACATCACACTATACACAAATGCATAGGCACACCACACACGCACACCCCCCCACCCAGTACAGTACACTCTGGATACGACACACGCACTATACACAATACACGTGCGGCACACTATTTACAGACACACATTACACAGATGGATACAAACACCAGAGCACACATGCCACATTCTCCCCACACAGCACAGACACACAACAGAGCACACTATATACAAAACACACATCACAGTATACATACAACATGCTCAACACATGTCACAGTGCCTCATAGTGCCCAAGCGTGTGTGGGAACGCACACACAGACAGACACAGACACAGTGTAACCCACCCTTCTCCAGAGCACACGTTTCTGGCTGTCTCTCTCATTCCCTTTCACCTGCTGTTCATTTGTCTGCGCGCAGTTTGCCAAGCACAATAACCTCATTCCAACCAAACTGTGTCCTGAACACCAAACGGCTCCCGCCACACCACCAGCCTCAGCCAGATTTTTTTCTTTTAGCAATACTGTGCACTGAATCCAGGGCATTCCCACTGAGCTACATCCCTACAGTCCAGATTTTTTTTCTTCTCTTTGAGATAGGGTCTTGCTAACTTGCTAAGGTATGTGGGCTGGGTTCAGACTTGCCAGCCTCCTGCCTCAGCTTCCTAGAGTGCTGGTTACAGGTGCGTGCCACTGTGCCTGGCTCTGTGTCCTTCTTAATGAACCAATGACAACATTTCTCCTGAACAGCCTCGAACCCTTACAGACTCAACACAATTGGGAGCCACCTTATCAAAATGCTTCCTTCACGGGCTCCTCCTCCTGACCTCCGGATACATTTCAGCCTCAGTGGCTCTCACTGGTTCCCTCTGTCCTCCTGGCTGATGTGTGCACAGAATGTGACCAATGGGGATCCCTGCTCCCTGATGCTGTTACTTTTCCACGGGGATCTGGTGACTGCTCCTGGTCCCAGGACTGGGGAGTCACCCTGACTCTCCGGGAGCCCCAGTGTCACAGACCCTGTCCACGGCCAACTGTCTCCAGCTCACTGGGCAAACAGCACCCTCCCCGTCCTCCCCTGACCCCTGCTGCTCTTGACCATCCGTGACTCTCAGTAAACGGTACCGCGAGCCCGGGTTCTCAGTGGGCACCCTGATTCTGTGTCTCCAGCGGCCCACCAAAGCACACTGAGTACCTCCAATGCACATCTGTGTCCCCGTGGCCTCTCTCCTGCCTTCCACTCCTCACTCCAGTCCTTGTCTGTGGCAGTTGTCTTTGAGAAAAGGACCAGCTTATAGCACATCCTGCCAGGAACGCTCCACAGCTTCCTGAGCCTCAGGAAAATCGGGTCCTGGTGTGGCTCACATTGAGGCCCCAGAACCCGCCCCACGCTCTGACCCTCCCCGTCCTGCTTCTCCAGGGCCAACCTGGCCTCACTCAGCAGGACCCTGGGACCACAGCTGTTGGTCTCCAGAGCCTGGCCACAGAGACCTGGACCCACGGACTCTCCCACTGACATGGGCCCTGAGTGGAGCAGTCGACATCTTCGGTCTCACGGGCTTGAAAGGTGACTGTGTCACGGGTGCCAAGCCCATGGCAGACTCTCTCCTCTCTCTGCTTCCTGGCTGACTCGGTGTGAGCCTCTTTTCTCCACCACGCCCCTCCACCATCCTGTTTCTGCCTTGCAGCCCTCCCAGGAGGGACTAAGACAATGGGCCAGAACGAACCTCTCTTCCTTCAGTGAGGAGACTCGTGTCAGCGTGGATGGGATTCGCACGCACCCTGCCAGAGGCTCCTGCCTGGGAACTAGGGACCTACCGCCTCTCTGTCACTCTACCAGACACCCTCAACTGGTTCTCCTACGGGGAGTAGGGCTGAGGCTGCGCCGTCCCAACCCCAGTCTTACCGCTCACGCTGAGCACCATGCTGACCGAGGCGTAGCCGATCGTGTTCCTGGCCACGCACTCATAGCGACCTGCGTCCGCCGGCCCCACGTCATTGATGGTCAGGTATCCCTCAGGGCTGATGTGAAATTTTCCACTTTCGGTTACCTGAACCCCATCCTGGAGCAATGAGAAGGGTGGCAGCAGTGAGACAAAGACTGAAGCTGTTTTTCTGGGGGGGGTGCAGGGAGGGTGCTGTGGGCGCCGAGGGAAATGTCTCACTTAGATGGTGCGCCCAGGCTGTGGCAGGGCACTGGCCCGGAGGGATGAGCTCTTCTGCCTGCTGCACAGTGGGGTGCAGACGGCTGTCACTGTGGGGGAGGTCACAAGCTACGGTGGGGGGGTCCTTGAGAGACAGGCACCCAAGGATGATTTGGAGGCAGGCTCAGAGTGCACAGGCCCTGTGCCAGGCCTGGGTGTGGGTGAGGAGGGAGAAGGTGGGAGGCCAAGTGGATGCAGCAGGAGAGAGCTAGGGGCATCTGCACCTGCCCTGGTCCTCTCCCTCGGTGGGGACCCTGGCACTGTCATCTCCTTCCCCAGGAAGCAGGCCATACACATAGTACATGCTACTCAGTACATTTTGTACTGGGCTGAATAAAAGCAAAAAACAAAGTGAAGTCTGAAAAGTCATATGCCAGGCGTGGCAGCTCATGCCTTTAAACTCAGCCCTTGGGAGGCTGAGGCAGAAGGACTGCAGCCAGTTTGAGGCCAGCCTGGGGTACATGGTGAGTTCAACTTCAGCCTGAACTACATAGGGAGACCCTATCAAAACAAAACAACAAAAAATAAACCAAAAACAATGAAACAAAACAAACCAACATTGCTCATAAGACTGTGGGTCTAAAGAAAAAGTTTTTTCTTTGCTTTTGTTGCTGGACAGTAGGAAAAGAGAAGGTCTTGCTATCTTGAGGATCAAGATGCCTCCCAGGATACCTGTAACCCAAGTTTCCAGGTTGGGGTATGCACCCGTGGTAGAGCACTTTCCTACCATGCCTAAAGCCCGTCCTCAAAAAAAAAACCAGCTGACTCAAGCTTGCTACATGTACGTTTTTCTCTCTGCTGCGGAGTCTGCAGGAGAAACAAGACGGTACTGGTCATCCACTGTTCCCGGTGCCCTGGGCTGGCACCAGCTCTCACCTTGTTCCAGGTGATGGCTGGCTCGGGCTCACCCTGGGAGCTGCAGGGCAGCTGCACGTTGGTCCCCACCTCCACCGTCAGGTCACTGGGGATGCTGGCGAACACCGGGGTGACTGTGAGCAGGGGGAACACTGTCAGCTCTGTGTCACTGTGACTGGGCACCAGCCGTGACTGCTCCTCCCACTTCCCACCTGGGTGGCAACAGCACAGTGACCGTAACTGGGTCCTCTGCTCAGAGACCTCAGATGCCCACACTCTGCGCCCTCCACAGCAGCCACTGAGGACTCGGGAGCTGAGACAGCAGCTGATGTTCAAAGAAAGGAAACTGAGTCAGCTGCGCCTCCCTGTTTGCAGGTAGGGGACTGACTGCAGCAGGCCGGGCACCTTTCCAGGACCCATCCCTGTGTCCCCTTGTCCTCAGGGCTGTCCTGACAATGTAGGGGCTCAAGGGGCAGAGCCAATCAGCTGGACTTGATGAGACCAGCAGTCTCCCGAGTCCTCTTTGGGCTGGGGCTAGGACCTGGCCAGCCTGCACTGCCTCAGCTCCAGAGGCCTCTGTGACTCTGGTCAGCGACCTCTGTGCTGGAGATCCCTTCAATCTTTTTATTAGGGCTCTGCCAAGAGAGAGAGGCCGCCAGGACTCTAACTGGAGGAAGAGGAGGGAGATGTCCCAGGAGGAAAGGAAGAGAGGGGCCAAGGGCGAGAGGCAACAGACAGGGGAATGCAGTGTGGTCCTGCTCTGTAGGGCTGGGGACAGTGCTTGTCTCCACACTCCCAATGGGGCCATGTGACAAAAGGCCGAGAGAACAGCCTTTGCCGAGGGTGTTTAACCAAGGAGAATGATGGGCCTGACTGACAGTCTGATCTGAGTTCAGCATGAACATCATTAAAGACTCACAGCCCTGTCAGTGTTAGTCACACAGAGCTCTGTTTCTCAACAGCAGGTCCAAACTATTCCACCGAGCCGTACTCACAATGCTTACCTCGGGGCTGCACAGTCAGGTGAGCCACAACCTTCCGGGAGCCGATGATGTTGACGGCCTGGCACTCATACTGACCCTGGTCGTGCAGGGCCACCCCGGAGATCCTGAGCGTGCCTGAGGACAGCACCAGGTGCCGCCGGTCCACCGAAAGCTGGCTCCCTGCAAAGGGAGGCATCAGTCACACAAGCATGGATCGAGTCCGGGTACAGGCAAGGTGGGAGGAGGACTCTGTGCGCCCTGCTGCATTGCAGTTCTGGCCCTCGGGAAGCAGGCCCTATGCATCTCAGGACACCCCAGGGTCCCTGCCACCAGCACTCCCCAGGAAGGGGCTGAGAGGAGCGGATGACCAGAGGAAAGGCTAAACAGAAGCCTGGACAACCCGGGGACTTGGGGTGGCTGAGCCCAAAACTTTGCCTGAGAAGAAAACAGGAAGGAGGCCTGGAGTCCTCGCAATTCCTCTGCAGATAAAACCTCTCTCACCTCGTGGCCTGAGGGCAGAGATGCCCTAGGGTCAGGGTGGAACCCCTAAGGGACCAGAGGACACCTGGGAGCTCTGCTTCAAGCCAGATCTCCAGGACCCTGGACACAAACACCAGAGATCTGGGGTGGAAGCACTTTATCATCCCTCCAGCCAGGCCGTGACACCGTGGGGTGGGACAGAGCCATGAGTTACGGTGGTCACAGACCCACACCCACTGGAGACGTGGTGACGGGGGTGCTGGGCAGCACAGCGTAAAGGCCACTCGTTTAATACGGGGCACACGTGACCCAGGAAGTTCCATCCCACAAGCCGTAAGATCTGTGGAGAGCTGTTCAGCCCACCTCCAGGAGCCAGAGTCCAGTCAGCCGTCCTTGCCATGGGTCATGAAAGCCACAGAGGTCACCTCTGCCTTCTCCTACCGCTGGGTCTGGGCTCTGTCCCCACTGTCTAGAAGATGCTGGGTTTGCCTGGCTGAGGAGAGGGAGCTCGGCTGGTGTCTTTCTTACCTCCCTTGGTCCAGGCGATGACCGGCTGGGGGTAACCCTTGGCCTCACACTGGAAATCAACTGTCTGACCCTCGATGACCACTCTGTCCTGAGGTGTCACTGTGAACTGTGGAAGAGCTGTGGAGGAGAAACATTCGCAACGAGACAGTTAGACAGTGCTGGGAGGAGAGAATGCAAAAAAGAAAATGAGATGTGTTGTAAACAGATGCAACTGTGGGTACAGTCAAGAAACTTAAGACAGAAAATGAAAAGGAGGCAGGAAGAACATCACAGGACAAGTACTTCCTTAGTATCACACTGAAGGAGCTTACAAAGGGGCTTAATATAAGAAGCCTGCTAGCTTCAATGTAGTGGCGCACGGAGAATAGCCTGCTTTAGCCTACTTCAGTCAGAGAGCTAAACTGCCACCAAAGAATCCTAGAATCCTGGCACTTTGGGAGACTGAGGGAGGAGGATTGCAAGTTTGAGCTCACCTTAGGGAAATGAGCTATTTAGCAAGATGATGTCTTAAAATTTTAAAAAAGGGCTGGGGAGGTAGTTCAGCGTGTAGGCCCTGGGTTCGAACCCCAGTACTGCCCCCCAAACTCATTTCATTAAATAGCTTAAATTTGTAAATGGATAAAAAATGTCACCTGGTGCACTGTGGATAGTGACAGGAGCTATTATCATCAGATATAAAAATGAGCTCCAGATCTAGCAGGACTGCACTTTTACAAGAGTAAGAACACAGCAGAGTAAAACCCCACACCGGGGCTTCACAGCTATGCGTACAAAGAAAGCTAGAAAAGTCGAGCCCAAGGAACTGTTAGTGAGGTGGGAAATGGTCAGAGGGAGGCAGCTGTCTGAGTTCCACACTTCTGGATTCTTCTAGTCCCTCTTTACTGCCCACTTCCTACAAACTCACAAGCTCCTTTTTAAGGAAAACCACCTGGAAACACAGAGCCAAAGTATTAAAACTACCTACCCCTAAACCCCAAAGTCTGCCCTTAGGGATGCATTCACAGTTGGCTGCAGGTGAGGGACAACCTCACACAGATGTGTGTGAACTTCTGCAGAGTTAGGAAGCCAGGACTCAGGGCTTGGAGACCATGGCTAAAGCACAGCCTTGGCCAACATAAGAAAATCTATCTGTCACGGGTTGTGCCCAGTTTTAAGTCTAGTCCCCCAAAATCTCCTGTGTTCAAGGGCTGGGATTTTTAAAGGAGGTTGCATCAAGGAGCACCGTGTGCACCACGGATCCATCCATGGATGAGTTCAGAGCTGAATGTGGTCTGGGTGGAGGTGATCGCCTGGGGGTGGCCTGTAAGGGCGCACTCTTGTCCCCAACTCCTCCCTTCTCTCTCTGCTTCCTGGCCACCATGAGGTGAGCAGCTCTCCTCCTCCAGACCCTTCCGCCACACCATTTCTAGCTAGGAGCCGGCCAACCATACACTGAGCCCTCTGAACCATGAGCCAAAGTAAAGCTCTCCTCCTCAGTAGTGGGCGTCAGGAACTCTGTCCCAGAGACGGGAAGAGATGCAACGTGGGGTGAGTGTTATGAATAAAAATGAAGCAAGTTAATGGGAACCAGGAGGGCAGGCCTTGGGAACAGCCAGGGCAGAAGCTGCTCCAGGCATGGGGGTGCTGACACAGTAAGGGGACCCAGCTGTACACCCAGTCCTGATGCCCGGACAGAGCCCCTGCCACTCACCCTGGACGATGATGAAGGCTGTGGCGTGGATGCTGTCTATGCCATTGGACGCGAAGCACGTGTACTCCCCGCTGTCCTCTTGGGCGACGTTCTGTATGTAGAGGCCGCCAGAGGGGGTGATGTTCACCCGGGGGTCGGCTGGCAAGGGGGTCCGGTCCCCTCGTGTCCAGGTGATCCGCGGCGCGGGGTGGCCCGTGGTGCTGCACTCCAGCGTGACACTCTCGCCCACCAGCACCTCTGTGTTCTGTGGCTGGATCACGAATGCCAGTCGTGCTGTCATAAGCAGAAAACTCCTGTTAGTTTCTTCCAGTTTCATGAGGGTTTTGCTCGGTATTTTTCTATGTTCAGGCTACCCATTCACTCTGTCTACTTCCAACATGAGCAAAAAGAACAAAATTTAATAGCTTATTTTTCTCTCCTTTCAAAAGGAAATGCGAAGGCAATAAAAGTGATCCACACACTCAAGTCAAACAAAGGCAGGCTGCTAGGCATTCGAGGGTACACTGGTGATCCCACCATTCTGGAGGCTAAGGCAGGAGGATCCCAAGTTCAAGCCCAGCCTGAGCAACACAGACTGCGTCTCAAAAAAAAAAAAGGCAACTGGTGAACAGAAACAATGGCAAGAAAGAGCTGAATTTCTTCTTCAAACACATATTAGATTCTATGGAGAACTCTTGTTTATCCCAAACACATGATATCAGTCTTGTTAAAACCTTGTTACAGATTCCTACTGGTACAAAATCCTGTTCGTATTGTGCATTTACACCTTATAATGTAATGATTTCATCACAAAAAGCAAAAATTAAAACTATACCGAGATAATACTTTTCAAATGTTACGTCTAGGAAAAGAACTTACACACTTTCCGATGTGTGTTTCGGCTGAGCGTGTGCAGAAGCAGAGCCCTCCCACCCCATAGTGGACGAGAAAGCGACAAGGCCCCTCTGGAGAGGTACGCACAGACTGCAAAGCTAAACACGCATCGACTCTTTTACCCAGAAGTCACTGCTAGGAAATTAACCCACGCATGCGTCTTGCAAGCACGGAAAATGACTTAGGTGCAGGCATCTTTTTTAACCTTTCACTGGGACAACTACCCTTTATCCACGAGTCTGATCTCCAAAAAGCTTTGAAAGTCATTCCTTTTTAACAAAATTTAACCCATGTTGCATGAGGTCGGGTCTCGACTTTACTCATTCTACTTCCTGACAATAAACAGCTTGTAGCAGGGATCTGGTACACTGCAGAGCACTTATGATCCAAGGCTGGGCTGGCAGTGTGAGCTGGTAATTGGGTTATGCTTCACGTAACTTTTCTAAAAAAAAAAAAAAAGCTCGAAGAATCTTTTAAAAAAAAAAAAAAAAAAAAAAAAAATGTCCCCAAATTTCTGAATTTCAAACATCTGGCCCAAGAGGCTTTGAATAAAGGATATACACGGAGCTGATAGCTAATGATCTGGGAAATATTGCTAAGTGCGCCAGGAAGGAAGTACAGAGGTACGTGAACTTAATTCTTTCCATGATTCTGGTCACAAACCGAACAGAACGAGAACTGAATCAAACTTCCCCATAAGATCAACACTGAACCGAACCACAGAGTTTGATTAGGTTCTCATCCAATTCGGTTTGCGACCAGAGTCATGGCACCGTCGGGGACACACAAGAGGAGACAAGATCAGAGCCATGGCCCAGAGGGGAGTCAGAGAGCTGCAGCTGGGCCCCGAAAGGCCCCCAACCACCAGGAAGAGAAAGAGCTAGGGAGGCCGTGGTCTTCCAGGGAAGTTCTGGTCCTCTCAGGGTTTGGTACCCATCTCTCCCAACATCAGGCAGAAAGGTATGATCACCAAAGAGCTGAGGAGGAAGCAAAGGAGAAGGGAGAAAGAGGACTGAAGGAAGGAAGGGGGGATCGGGAAGGAAGAAGATCAGGAGGGAGAGAGGGAGGGAGAGAAAGAAGGGGAAGATGAAAGGAGGGTGAAAGACGAGGCAAAGTAAGAGAGAACAAAACATGTTTTATAGATTAAAAAACACACAAAACTCACACAGCACATAAATGCAGACAGGCAAATGTATTGGGGGGGTACTGGGGATTGAGCTCAGGTCCTTGTGCTTGCAAGGCAGGTGGCAGAACCACTGAGCTAAATCCCCAGCTCTGGCAACTGTATTTTACGTACAATGACAGACAATAACTTTGGACTTCAGTAATTTAGGAATACATTTCAAAGGTCCAGGATAACCACTAACTCACCTCCCAAAGAAGTAGTGGGAAATAGAAGAGGAAAAATAATGGTTCATTTTAGTAAGTTGATTTGATCATCAAAAGTTCAATTAACCAGGAAAATGAAAACCACAAATTTCTATTACAGATCTTAAAACAGGTAAAGTGTATTTGTCCATCTGTGGTCCAGGGTGACTTACAAGCTGCCCTGCTCCTGGGACTATAGGACAGTGCCTCGTGGGGTATGAGATCTCTGTGTGAGGACTGAGACACCCTAGGGGCTGTGGGAACCACGGGCTTTGTGCTGGTGTTTAACTCTGCTGCGGCAGAAAAGCCACCACAGGTAATACATTTAAAAAAGGGTAAGGTTATGTTCCCATAGAACCTAATGCCTAGACACTCAAATCATTTCACATAATCATCCTGTGTCATCGAATATTCTTAAGTTTTGGTCACTAAAAAATGTTAAACTGCTGTGTCTCTTGCTTTATCCCAAGTTCCCAAGTACTCACAGAATTGTCTTACTGCCCCCCGCCCCCGAGTCAGGGATTATTTTATTCCTTACAAACGCAGGAGCTGCATCTCTGTATGGCTTTGCAGACATGCTAGCTGGCTTGTACAGAACTGTGGAGTGCTGTGTGCCTAAGGGCATTGCGCCAGCGGCAATAACCGCCTCTTGATTTCCTCTGGGAAGAATCTGCTAGCTTGGAATGTTCATTCATTACCGTGTCCATGGTGGGCTGCAGCAGAGTGGCAAAGATCAGGCCAGTTTTTAAGGAGCTAAGCCTCTAAACAAAGACACAAACGTGGAACCATACACCATGGCCTGAAACATAAAATAAAGGATGGGCCGGGATTTAGCTCAGTGGTGCTGCTGCCTGCCTTGCAAGTGCAAGGTCCCGAGTTCGATCCCTGGTACCAAACAAAACAAAACAAAACAAACAAACAAACAAACAAAAAAACAGGGTGATACCCAGCCCTTGAGCGCTTGTGGACAGAGCTAAGCCCAGCTGGGGCAGGACTGTGGCCCTATAGCTGCACATGCTCACTCAGGGCCTAGTAGGGGACCACGGTGACCCCACTGTTAGGGGCAGTGGTGGACACAGACCACCCTCCCGGCTCCTCTGCTGACCACACCAGAAACCAGAACGCTGGGGTGAGAGCAGACAGAATTCGTGAGCACGGAGGACATGGCCAGGTCACAGCAATGTCCCCTCCCCCTGCTGGAGTCAGTCTTTCCTCATTTGCAAAATTATGTACCAACAGTTTGCACGGCACAACTTTAAATAAAAGACCAATATTTTCATCTTCTTTTAAAGGATCAAAGCCCTTAGCCAACAAAAGCTCACTACTCAGCAGCACCAGCTGTCTGAGGCTGAACAGGTGTTGCCCCGACGGGGCAGGGTGGGTGGTCAGGCTGTGGGATGGTCCCCTGAGCAGCCCCCAAAGTGGGGCCACCAGGGGCCACAGCAAACCCTCATGGATCGCCCATAACCCTGCGGGCCAACCCGGTATAGCAACCCTGCTTCTGGCCCTGCAACCTTCATGTTTCTTACAAGGATAAGCTGGTGTGGGAGGGAAGGAAGGAGACAGTCGGGTGACCTTATAGGAAACACCCTCCACGTACCTGGAGACCCAAAGTACCTCAGGGTCACCTCCTGCGTCTTCACCTCCCCGGCCACGTTCTTGGCCATGCACTGGTAAATGCCCTGGTCGGTCTCCTGCGTGTTCTGGATCATCAGGGTGCCATCGTCCAGCAGGTTTAAGCGAGAATCTGCCTTCATGCTCAGTTCGTTACTAGAAAGACAGAGTGGGGGTGCCAAGGGTCTAAAGCACAGGCAATGCTTATCTGCCATCGGGAGAGGGTTCAGGTGGCTCTCGGGGCACACGGGACGGCTGACTGGCCTCCCAGGTGCCTTCTCCTCTGACTTAGGGGTATTTCTGGGAAAGCACCTGTGCACCTATCCAATCTGTCCATCCAGATGTTTTACAGTGCTCCGAACTCCAAAGGGAAAAAAGTAAACACAGTGGAGAAAAATCAAAGGAAACATTCTCCTTTGCTTCTGGTCGATTAAATCAAAAGAAAAAGGTAGCAACACATTTTCATATTATTAAAAGCAAAAGATACTCCGTGTATCCACTTATATTTTTAAAGATAATGGAGCCAGGGTGGTGTGCATCTCGAGTTCCAACTGCTCAGAAGGCTGAGGCAGGAGGATCACTTGAACCTGAGAACTCCACACCAGCCTGGGCTACACAGCAATACCTGGACCCAAAACACAAAAATGAAAACAAACCCAGCTACACACTGCTGCTGGGTCCCTTCCAGGATGTACAAGGCACTTAGGTCGCTACATCATTCCACACAACCTCGGGGCCGTGGTGTCCAGGTTCCCACCCCACTGCATTCCTGAGTCTTTGTTCTCTGGGTTGTAGGCTCCTCCCACATCACACATGTGACACCTTGATCTACTGCTCATCCCTTGCCCACATGACTTGGCTCTTGCCCCTTTTGTTGGGAAGCACACAGAGAGCTTACAAGTGACGACTGATAACCCTGATCACGAGAGAATAAAAAAGTAGGTTCCAACAGAGCCACCTGGGAGAGTCAGCCAGTCGGGGAAGCCCTGGGTGCCAGGGATAGGGATGAGAGAGCCACGTTAAAAACTGCAGCCCACACCGTTCATTCCTGTTCAGGCACGGCCCTCAACGCTGGGCACTCACGTGTCTCAGTTCCCCAAGAAGCAGGCAGGGAAAGCCTGACTCGAGGTGACACAGCATGGTCTGAACTCGGTTCCCCACGACACTCACAGAACTATCTGGAAGGCCCCAAGCACAGGGACATAGGTGGGCAGATGGCAGAGCCAGCATCAGAGGTCAGGCTCAGGACCCAGGTCTGCTGCACTCAGTTCTGAGACTTTAAATTTTGGTATCATTTCTTTTTCATTTATAAAAGGTAGATGTGAGGGTTTTGAGCCAAATTTCCACTTGCCCACCATTGAGGTACAGCTTCCCTGACAGGTCAGAGGTCTTCCAGCACCCTCTCTCCTCTGGATCTCAAATCTGTGACCTCATCATCAGGTTACCTTCCATCTTCCCCACACAGCCCCATCCCAACTCAGGGTGACCTTGCACCCTGGCAATAGCTTTGAGGTCTCCGCTCTCGAATGCCACCTGGCGGCTCCAAGTTCATCTCCTCTGTTGAACTGCTGGAATGCGACCAGCCACCTGCTCTGGGACCTGGCCCTCACAGAAGAGGGGTAGAGGACAGGCCAGTGTCTAAACGGCTGACCAGAGTTTGGTGCTGGGGGCTCCCTTTAGGTTTCTGTGAGCTTCATTTCATACAGACAGGGACTTTCCCAGGTGCCACAGAGACTCAGCCACCAAGGACCCCAAGTGTCCCCAGTAAGCCAACCCTATCTCTGCCTAGGTCTCTGTCTCCAGCCCATGCCCCGGTGATGAGGCTCACACCAGAATCCTGGCAGAGGGGAGTGGGAGAGAGGAGCAGCCTCCCCCAGCTCCTCCTCCGGGCTGAGCTCCGCGAGTCACCAGGAGCGTTCCCTGTTCAGCTGTCATGTTGAACTGGGGAGCCCAGTGCCCCCCTCCACCTTGCCAACCTGCGGGAGGGTGCTGAGGGCAGGAAGCACGGGACGCTGGGATCGGCTCAGGAAGGTGATGCTCTAGGCACCACCGCAAGCTCTGCCCGCCCTGCCTGCTACTCACTTGTTCCGCAGCCAGATGATCTCAGGCTTGGGGTTGCCCTCGGCCCTGCAGGTGAAGTACACTGTGTTCCCCGAGGTGACGTCCGCATCCTGTGGCTCCGATGTGATCCGGGGCCTTTCTGCGACCAACGAGGACAGGAGACCCTGTTAGTCTAAACCCTGGAGGGAGTGGACACAAGAACCCAGTGCCTTCTCCACCTCAGGGACATGGCAGACCAGACCTAGTGGACTCTGAGGTCGTCCCATGCCCCCGGGAGCAACGCCAGTGCTGAGTGGGGGGTGTCACAGTTACTCTCTCCAGTGACCGCCAAAGGAGCAGTGAACAGCGTGCCTCCTCGGGGCTGAGTCCTCCCAAGAGCACAGAGCCCCAACACTGAGGCATCGTGGGGGCCCAGGGTTCCACAAGCCCCTCTCAGAGCCTGTGACCCTCCCTGTTGCCCTCCCCACCCCAGTCGCCCCACTGTGGATGGCTCCCAGGGACCAGTCAGTGGGCAGGGTCAGCGTGAAGCCTCAGCCAGACCACCTGTTTGTTCCCAGGCCACCAAGCATCCCTCCAGGAGCCAAGAATGCATCACCCTGCACACTCAAGACCCACAGCCGCCAGGCACTCGCCCAGCACAGAGGGTGCAGAGAGGGAAGCTGCAGGCTGGCAGGGGATTTAAGGCTCGGTACCCAGAGACAGACACCAGACACCAAGGTAAAAAATGCTCGTGCTAGGGGTGGCTGGCAGGGAAGGCCACGAGAGTCAGTCCCCTCTCCACACAAGGAAACTGAAAACTGGGCTACGCTCACGTTTATAAAGAAAACAAATGGTGACCAATGTGTGTCCCGTTACAGGTGGGGTCACTCGTGAAAAGTACTGATTTCTCGCTTTCAGTCGTGTTGTTTTGCTGTTAAAAGTGTTAATGATAAAAAAGTATATTAATGATACTTGGGATGAAGAACTGAAAAGCTGGTTTTTCTTCTGCTACAGGCTGGCCTTGAACGCATGGCAAACCTCCTAACTTGGCCTGACAGGTGCATCACCATGCCCAGCACTGAAAAAGTAACTTCTGTGCCAAAAGGGGGGAAAAAAAGAAGAAGAGGGAGCTGACCCACAATTTGGATTTGGGCATTTAAAAAGACGACTGCCCTGTGGTCTGCCGTGATTTGTTCTTTGTCTTTGGGGAAGTTTTGCACGGCCAGGACCAGGGAGCCCCTCATGTGCATGCTCAGGCGGGCTCGGCGGGCAGTGAGCTCCGCTTATTCCTGCAGGGCACCCTGAAACAAAACCTAGGCTGGGACCAGACGGCCAGATAGTGTCTCAAACACCACAGCCGGGTCCACAAGTGGGGTCCTTCCTTGTCCAGGGGCCGCCAAGGCCTGACTCTCAGCAGACTTGGCCTGTGAGGGTGGAAGACGCACACCAGGCTCGCTGTGCCACTGACCCAGGCCGAGCCCGGCCTCTCACCACAGTTCAGCTCCTCCGGGGTGATGGTGGCCACTGAGCGGCCCTGGATGCGTCTGGGGTACTCGCAGGTGGCCGCCGCCTGTGCATTCCCCGACTGGGCGTAAGTCTTCAGCAGATCCGCCAGCCACAGGATCTCACAGTCACAGTGAAGTGCATTTGAGTCCAGCCGCCTGCAGAGGGGCAGCCAGGAAGACCCAGGTGTCATGGAGGCCCAGGGTGCCCAGCAGGCCCGGGATCCCGGACCCATGCGCTGAGCCCCCCAAGCACTGGGCCTGTGGTGGATGGGGTTCCCAGCACAGAGCCTGAAACAGGGTCAGGATCTGAGTCAAAATAGGTGAGCGTGGGCTGGGCAAGTGGGAGAAGTTCCTGCAAGTCAAGCCTCCCCGATGCTGGACCCTCATCACTCCATGGTATGTGGGGTCCCCACCATCTCAGTCCCCACATGTCCTCAAAGGCGCATATCCTTGGCGGGTGAGGTCCGGGGTCCCCCAAAGCCTGGCACCTGACTCAGCAGCGATAGGTTCCTGCACCTCGGGAAAGGCTTCAGGGTCTGCATATTCAGAAGGTGCAGGGGGAACCCAGGCAGGGACACTCGGTACCACACCTGTGCACCCTGGGAGGTGACTCACACCCGGGCAGACCGCTGGGAGCCCCCCAGGAACTTGCCCAGCACTGGGGTTGGAGCTCAGGTCCGACTTCAGGCCAAGACCCAGAGGACCACACATCCATCTGCACTTCTCTAGGGTGTTTAGCTCAGCGCGGACCAGGACACAGAGCTGCCTGGTCTGGGCATTGGCCTCTTCCAGCAAGCTGGTAGCTGATAGGATGCGAACACAGGGGAAGGAGGCCACCAGAGGATGGCACAGCTGCCTACTACGGCACCAGCGGGTGACCCACTGTGCTGTGGCTGAGTCTCAGGACCCTCAGTGCAAGGGCAGAAGCGCCGGTCTCCTAGGCAGTGCCCAGCCAGCCCTGCCTACCCTGTGAGCCCATGGAGAGACATGGACACTGCACCCGGAAGAGGGGATTTCAGTGAAGCCCTCTGGGCTCGAGGCTCAGAGACAATTCTGGACGGATGGTGGCCAGGCAGTGTGGCAGATCTGCCACTGAGTCCAAATCTAGGGTCTCGGTTGAGCAATGGAGAGCAAGCAAATAGTGGGAAGGACGGTCAGGACGGATGGCAGGGTGCATCTGGACAGGACTCTTGCCAGGCACCCAGAAGGAGCTGGGGACAGACAGCTGAGGGCTGATGCACCCCGGAGTCTCGTCCCTCTCCCCGAGCAGGGCTTGATTATTTTCTATTTATCTGGCAATTTCTTCCTCCCCTGTTAATCCAGCAAACATGGAAACATTTGTCCTTTCTTCCACTTAGAATGCAGATCTTAGCATGGCTGGTAGTTTTTGTTTTTTAAATTCTAAAGAAGAAAACTATATGAAGGTCTGTGTCTTACTCCACTTTATCTCATGAAGAGAAAACAGACACACAGAAGTTGCTCAGGGAGTGAGACAGCTTCTCTAGGTTTTGTGTCTGGGTGTAGGCAGTCACTGTAGATGCCAGATGGCTCTATGTCTGTCTGACAAATGTGCCTTTGAGACCTTAAGGAAGGCACGGATGTCAGATAAATTCTCTACCAGCACCAGCATGCCTTCTTTCTATTAAAGAATGTCTCAGCATAAAAAATATTATTTGGGGGGCCCTGAAAACAGGGGAGCAGGCTTCAGTTGGCTGTAGTCTGAGTCAAGCCTGTGGTGAGGGAAAGGAATAGAACACAGAGGAGACACTTTGTAGACGGAGCCCATTTTCTCCAGTGAAATACGCCCCAGCGAATTAGAAGTTAACGAGGGGGAACTGACAGGTAGTTTCGAAGTGGCTTAGCTCATTCTGATATTCTCAGTCACCTTCTTGTCCTTTTGCATGAGAATGGATGTAAGCTGTGCTCAGCCTCTGTCCTGAGTTTTCCGGACACCTAGAAACACTTCCCAGTGCCTGGCAGAGAGACCTGGCTGGGTATATAACAGATTCCCAGTGAAGCTACACAGCGGGGCTATACTCACAGTCTCTTCATAGATTCCAAGTGATTAAACGTCCCCGGGACTAAATGTGTAATCCGGTTGTTATGTAAGAATCTGTTGAAAACGATAATACAAACCAATTAAAAAAAAATAAAATAAATATTTTATTTATACACTAGCAGGGTTGGAGCTGTCAAATACATCCGTTTTTTATAAACACCTTGCTGATTACCCTGATAGCATGCAGATGAATTTGGAAACTGGTCTTAGTCTAGGAAAAATAAATGTATTTTCAATTTTACCACCCTGTCCACCTAAGGAGAAAACTGCAAGTCCGCCCTCTGGCTGGCTGAGCCAGGAGGCAGCTGTACTCCCAAACTCCTTGCAGGCCTCTGACACGTGCTGTCCTGACACTGTCAAAGCTACGAGTGGACCAGGCCCAGGACCAAAAAATACGAAACTAAAGAACACAATGCAACTCACAGTCTCTCAAGCTTCGGCAAGTGTTGAAATGATTCTGGGTCCAGAGTTTCTATTTGATTAAAGTGCAGGTACCTAGAGGAGTTAAAAAAAAAAAGTGATTTAAACAATTTAACGACCTTTTCGGGCCTAGATTCTGTGCTTAAAAGCTTTTTCCAGGTCACTCATACTCGTATGTGAGGTAACTGCACAGCTGACACCGTGGAGATCAACAAACAGGAAGACTAAAGACACCTGAAATTGGGCAAAGGCGACCACACACAGTGTGACACACGGGAAACGAGTCTGGACATGGACCAGGTCTCCCTGGTTCCACGATAGACCCTGGGGCCACGACACACTCACTACAAAATATAAGGAAATTGAACAAAAACAAAGCTGAAGACACAACTCAAAGACAACACATGGTTCTGGGCACTAATCCCTGTGCTTGCATCTTCTAGCTGCCGTGTGGACCTGGCAGGGCCGTGGACCTTAATCACACGCTCTGTGCATGTCAGACACGTGGACAGCCACAGAAGACAGAAAACGCCACCGAGAGACACAGGATAAAGACCCAGTCTAGGGCCGGGGATTTAGCTCAGTGGTTCCACCGCCTGCCTTGCAAACACAGGGACCCAAATTCGATCCCGGTATCAAAAAAAAAAAAAAAAAAAAAAAAAAAAAC